GCTTCAAGGTAGAAAATACACAAATAATAATGAAATTTTTTATCACTAGCAATCATCATATTTCACAAATTGAATTACAACACGTTGCATTGAATAATAGGCGTAGTGGTTGAATCAAATCCATTGTTTTGCGCAAGCGTCTTCCTAGTAGCACTTCTGCTGGAGGCTGATTGTTCAAAGTTGGTTCGGAGTTGCTCTGTAGCTCAGAAGAAATGTCTGAAGTGCTTATGAAGTGGTCTCCTTCCCTTTGAATTTGCAAAGTGTTCTCTTGAATGTATCGACAAATCTTTCTGCTTGACCGTTCGACTGTGGATGGAAGGGTGGTGAGAAGATATGTTCAATACAATTCATACTACAGAAGTCAGCAAATTGAGAAGATGTAAATTGCGTACCGTTGGCACTGACGAGCACCTCTGGCATGCCGAACTGAGCAAAAAGTTGGCGCAAGAAACGCAAGGTGGTCGAGGTTGTTGTGCGGTTTGTCATAAATATTTCTGGCCATTTGGAGAAGGAATCAACGATGACAAGGAAAAACTGTCCTCTAAAAGGGCCCTCATAATCCACATGGATTCGTTACCAAGGCTTATCTGGTTGTGGCCATGAGGCAAGGGGGGCCCTGACGGGAGTTTTAGAAGCTAGTTTACATGGTTCACATTGTCTGACAGTATTTTCAATATCGTTATCAATACCTGGCCAATAGACGTGACTGGGAGCTAGGGCTTTCATTCTGTTTATCCCAGGATGTCCTTTATGCAATTGTTTCAGCACATTTTGCTGGTAGACATTCGGAATGATAACACGATCTGCCGTCAAAAGACATCCACTGGTGATGCAGAAGAAGTAGCGTCGATTGAATAGTTGTTGCAGTTGCTGATTGTTGATTTGCTTGGGCCACCTGGAATTAACAAATTTGATTACCTTTTTGAAGGTGGTCTTTTTGCATTGCGTCCGCGACTTGTTTTGCTGTAAGTGGGAGAGATTGTACGGCATCATTGAGCGAGCGATGAACATCTTCTTCGACATTTACTGTTACGACGACGACGTCTTCGTTAATTGAAGGTTGTTGTTGCATGAGTCGTGAGAGAGCGTCAGTCTGGCCGAATGAAGTTGTTGATCGGTGTTCGATGGTGAAAGCATATCCCAGAAGGATGGTTGCCCATCTTTGTAAACGGTTGGCAGTGTACACTGAAATTCCTTTCTTGAAACCGAACGCCGCGAGAAGTGTTTTGTGATCAGTGAGGAATGTGGAATGCCTACCGTGTATTATTCTATGAAATTTCTTTACCGCGAAAACTAGAGCGAGAGCCTCTTTTTCGATCAGACTGTTGTGTTGCTCTGCTGCCGTGAGTGATCGGGAGGCGTGGGCGACTGCTTTCTCGGAGCCATTTTCGAAGCGACGGCTGATAACTGCACCGATTCTTTTGTTGGACACGTCTGCAGCGATGCTGATCGGATGTGATGGATCGTAATGTGTCAGCGGCAAGTCAGAACGGAGAATTGTCTTGCTTCTCTCGAAAGCCTCTTGACAATCTTTGGACCAATTCCATTTTACATCTTTCTTCAGCAAATTGTCAAAGGGAGCACGAAGGTCTCTCATTTCTTTGACAAACGATCCATAGTAGTTGAGAAGGCCCAGAAATGACCTCAGTGTGGTGATGTGGGATGGAGGGGGCATCTTCTGTATTGCTGCAATTTTTTAAGGATCTGGCTGACGATCCTGAGAGCTGATGATGAAGCCAAGGTATTTTACAGAAGGCGTGAAGAAATTGCATTTTGATAATTTGATGTGGAAACCAAATTCTTTGATTCGTTTGAAGACAGCATGAAGATTTGATAGATGTTCTTCTCTGTTGCGTCCAGCACTGATTACATCATCTAGATATGCGACTACACCCTTGATTCCAGCAGCTGAAATACTTCTCATTGTTCGAGAAAGCAGTTGTTAATATGCGAAGGTAGTTGTGGCAGAATGTCTTCATGCATACGATGGCTGAGGCGTGTTCTGTGTTTGTTAGACCACACCCTATTTTTCCTTGACCTAGAGTGCCAGATTTATGGATTTGTTAGGTTTATTTTATTTAATCACTGGAATCGTTTTTAGCTGGGCTTTAAATTATTGAAGACATGATGAAAAGGTAATTGGAGAAATTAGAGAAGCTGAAGAGAGATGTACACGTTGGGACATGGGCTTTGGCATCACCTCACTCGTAAATTCGACTTTTTTATTGTGATAGTTGGTTTGGATAATGCTGGCAAAACGGTTATTCATTAATTTATTGTGCTTGAAATATTTAATGGAAGATTACGGTTCTGTTCATCATCAGTGTATTGTATATTCATGGGTTCGTTCATTATTGATATGGTTCACTGGTTATTTTTTAGACTTTCCTTGAACAAACAAAAATGAAATTCACGAGAGGATATCAGATGTTAAACCCTTTAAAAATCACAAGCACTGTTGGATTAAACAGTAAGTATGTTTTTAATCATGTCATCCTTATTTCATTCATCTGTTGACTAAAGTTAAGTGCTGTGGTTGCTTGAGATAAATTTTATCTTAGAATTGTATTCATTTACCGTACTGAACATTTTTTGTTGGATGATTCATTATTGGAGTCGAATATGAAAATTTCAGTTGGTAAAATCGAAATCGGTGCCGTACGTTTGAATTTTTGGGATCTTGGTGGCCAGGAGGAATTACATTCACTTTGGCATAAATATTTCGAGGATTCTCATGCACTCGTTTTTGTGATTGATGCATGCGACACGAGTCGTTTCTCAGAAGTTGCTCATACGTTTAGTTAGTGTCTAACGAGTTCTTCCTTTCCTTCTTGATGTCTCTTACTACATTGAGAGGCAGTTAAAAACAGTTTATCCGAATCATTTATACGATTACCGGGGTAAATTAGTGAATGCGAGCATGGAATATTGCATAAAGCTAAGATGAAATGAAATTTTATGTATATGTCAGATTATGTACCTAGGTGAAGGTATTTATCGATGTAGCATACGAATAATATTGCAAACTTCAGAACGTGTAATGGATAGCGAAAAGGTACAGCAAATGCCGATATTAGTCGTATGTAACAAAAGTGATGTGGATGAATGTGCGAACACAGAAAGCATTCGTAAATTAATTGTTGATGAACGTCATTTGGGTGATTTAGCAATAGTGCCTGTTTCTGCGCTTCAAGGTCTTAATGTTGAACGTTGTATTCGGTGGCTTTTCACTGCACTTACTCGAAACTCAAATTTATAATAAGTTATATTCCTTGTCTCATACCCTTGTTCTTTCTACAACATCATAATTCTATAATAGCAATCTCGTTCGACCAATCTATTTTGAATTGACTTTGCTCATTATCATGATTGATGATCAAAACATAGTCCAATTGGTGATAGTGCAATAGATGTCGGAGGCATTTTTCGGAGTGCATTATAGATGAATGATTCGTTTGAAAGGTATGTTGAGAATATGAAAAATACATCGTCAAAACGAAGAATCGATAAAATTTGAATCTTCTGAAGGATTGTGAATGAAACAAAATAGGTTTCCATTGTATTCTATCATTGTTATGGTCTCGTTTATGTGAACACATCTTGTGAATATTATCATTGTTTTTGATATTATCATTTTCTCATTGTTTACTTATTGTTTCATTCATAGCTTGTGTCATTTCATGAAAACAAAGATCAAAGATTTCTTATATCTCTGTGTCACANAAATAGGTTTCCATTGTATTCTATCATTGTTATGGTCTCGTTTATGTGAACACATCTTGTGAATATTATCATTGTTTTTGATATTATCATTATTATCATTTTCTTATTGTTTACTTATTGTTTCATTCATAGCTTGTGTCATTTCATGAAAACAAAGATCAAAGATTTCTTATATCTCTGTGTCACACGGTGTTTCAGACTGAGATTTTAAATGATATTCCGATTAATTGATTGTGATAATGATGTTCATTTCCTTCACACACTTATCTCGTATCCTACAGATACATTTGATGGTCATTTTGGTAAAATAAGATAAATCGATATCCTGATTTATGGTGCGTTAAACTGCAATATGCCAAACGGCGAATGGAGAATACTGAAGAAATAATTTTTGTTTATTCGAATCGCGTTTTTTATTTGAACCCAATAAGAAATCGATCAAGTACAATCTTATAAAGTTCATAATATGTGTCAAAGGTAGTAGAAACAACAAAGTTGAATAAAACGACAAAACCCGGTGACAGTAAAAACGGCTTCAAATAAAGATTATTTGAGTGTATAACGAAACATTAATGTATCAACGACGTTATCTTTCGAAAATATAACAAGGATTGTTATAATCTTTTCTTTATAAAACAATCAACATTTTGTGAACTAATTCACAAGATTTATGTTGTTTCATTTTGAAACTTTTTGATATGTTTCTCGAGCTTTTGCTCTTCGTGAATCTCTTTCACCATATGACATGCTTCCATTCCCACCCCTCAACGATCTACATGACCGCCATTCTTTCCTTCCTCTAACAATCTATTAATTGTAATTGTAAGCGTCATGTCGGAAGGAAATCAAAAATTTGATTTAATTTTAAGCAGTATGCTGTCAAAATTCACTGGCGATATGAAACGAATCATTTCCCCGCGAGTCTGAAAACACTAATGAATAATATGAAAAGAATCAGTCGGCATTAATATGTCAGATATTCTCAATTCCATTTCCCGTAACATTCTAAATTTTTAACAATCGGGAAATCTCTCCATATGAAAACACTATGGAGAAGGATGTTTTCGGCGACAAACATGATTTTAGAAACGGTCTTTTCGCATGCTTTATTACTAATTTACTGAATCAGTGGCCGTTATCAGTTGTATTCCCTTGACCAAATTAATCGCTGATCAAATCAACAACAGAAAGAATATTCAGAAATGAATAATAATTTCAGATTGAAACAAACGACATGGAGGAATGATGTTTGTATATGATACGTCGACTTATTGCACACTGTTAACAATCTCACGTAAGATCGCAGTCTGTGAACTTTTGACACGGATCAGTCCTTCGCTGATACTCATCCACCGACGTTTCCTGCCTGTGAAACTATCAGGCCATTCCACCAATTCTTCGTCAACACACAGCACAAACACTATTGTTCGATTCATTTTTTCTTCATCCTTAACAGATGTGAATGAAGCAATGGTTGATTGAAAAGCAAATTAATTTGTTGATGGGAATGAACAAATGAACACATTCATTTTGATCAAGAAACAGTTTAAAAGAGTAACTGAATCAATTTGTTCATTAAGCCAATCGAAAATTGGCATAAAATTTCATAGTAACAACTAACGATAAACTCTCCTAGCCTCGCGACGATTCTGCCTTTCACACCAGCTTCTTCAAGAACTTCTCGGACGGCTGCGTCTGCTTCTGCTTCATTCTTTTCAATGCCTCCACCCGGAATCACCCAACGACGTTCATCTTTTCCACCTGTGACTAGCAGTATCTGTCGATATGGACCCTCACCCCGCGTACAAATACCAGCTGCTCTCATACGAAAGCCGCGTTCATCTCTTTGTCGTTCACCATTTCTTTTATGCATTTAAAATTGGGAAGCCGATTTTTTTAAAAGTTGTTTGACTGACTGCTTGATCGATTAATTAATTAACGGACTGAATTCGTTGGTTCAGTCAATTCACTCGATGCCAGCAGATCGTGTGAAAATATAAATAAAAGTTAACAAAATCCTATTGTTGTTGATTATTCCAGTTTCCTTCTTCATGCACACTGTGCTATTCGCATTGATTTTGTAGTTGAATTATATTAAACATTTTCTCTGCAAAAATTTCCAATTTTAGTTATCAAGTTTTGTTTTGCATAACAGTTTTCTCAATTCATTGATTATTAAATCAAATACACATTTAGACATATTTAAGCTTCATTCGTTTTTTTTTTGGTTTTTATATTTACTTTAAAGTGAAAACGCATTTTGTCAGTATAGAGGCCGATTCGAAAAAAAATGTTATGATGATGCAATAATTAAGCAACGAACTTATTAATATGGAATTTCTGATGTAAGAAATATGGATATCAGATGTAAATAAACGATGGCATCTGGATGACATTATCGAAGAAGGTATTCAATGATCTGATTGTTAGACAAGAAAAAACTATTGTATTCATGAACGAATTCAAAAAGACAATCAGTTTTATTCGAGAACAACGATTGTTGAATGAATTTATGTTGGTAGAATTCGCTGAATTAATAACAAAACNAACAAAACGAATAAGAAATTTTTAAAAAGAGGAATGATGAAAAAAGACATTGAGCATTGCAAAAATCCAGTTATTGAATAACTGTGAAGAAAGCTTGAATTTATTACGTTCCAAATGAATCAATTGGCAAAGCGCAGGCGATGTGATGCGTCAATAAAACATAACCACATAATGGAAAGATTTTCATCGTTAGTTCACAACGACAATTGCTTACTACCGTTGTGTGCTGCTAGCCAGCTTATATGATATCACGTGAGTGGAATGTGGTATTAATGTATACACGTATAATAGCAACAGAAGATATATTATGCTTAAACGTCGTTTTATCAGTGATGAATATGTTTTGCTGTTCATATACAACTGAAGCGGGAACACCACTGAGAACTAAGCATCGTTGCAATTTCGATTTTGCTCGCAGTTTGGAATTTAAGAATCGTTATTTAAAAATCTAAAAACAAAATTCGAAAATTTCTAAGTTCTAAATCGGAATAATTCAAGATCGGAGTTTGAAACAATTTAAAATTATATTACATAAGGGCTGGGTCCGTTCTAAATCTCCTTTCCGCTAAAACTGTGTTCAATATTCCTAGAACTTTTGCATCAAACGTAATAAAATTGTTCTCCCTGAAGAAAACTTACTTAGGTTTAAAATCAAAATAGCTGCACGCTGAGTTCTTTTCCATGTCTCGAGTTGACTTAGGCTAAGCCTTACCACGCCACTCAGCCTGAGGCCCATTTCGGGCTTAAATTGAGGCTTGCAACGAGGATTAGGTTGAGATTCACTCCGAACTCAGGACGAGGCTTACCCCATCCTTAGGCTTAGGTCATTACGAGGGTCACACTAACAGATATCCAGGGTATAGATATAGGCTTATCGTATGCTCAGGTTCATGAAAAGACTAGGCCTAAAACTTATGTTAAGTTTAACTTGAGGTTTATTGCAGGGCACGGATTAAGGCTCACAACATGGCTCGAGTTGAGCCTTCCTTAGGGGAATACGTTGAAGCCTATCGTGGAAACGAGGGTCAGGCTGAGTTCATCTCGGGCTCAGGGTGAGGCCTACTCAACAAACCTCACCAATGTGCTCAGTCACGGTTACTAAAGTGAGGCTCATTCCAGAGTGCAAGCTGATGGTCTGCTCAGCTTGAAGTTTGCAACAAAGCGTAAGGTGAGGCTTCTGCCGACTGCTGTATATCATGAGGTTTAGGCTGACACTCATCCCTGTTTGCGGTGGGACGTACTTCGAAGTGTTCCAAATTTCACCCATATATCCCTCTCGCTTGAAGTTTGATAGAGATTCCGCCAATCTTATGTTCTGCACTCAAAACATCGATTTGCTGAGAGAACTTCGCGACATTTCGTTTCTGGATGTGAAAGTCGGAAGACAGAAAATTCCAATTTTAAATTGACTTGAAATTCGAAATAAATCAAAAGTTTAGACGAATCTTACTGAGAATGGATAATACGAAAGAGTTTTCAAATATTGAAAGAGTATCATTACCAGGATTCAACATATACCTTACCAGGTATATGTTGAATTCAACATTACCAGGATTCAACACAACGATAGAGATTCAGAAAAACCTATTGGAAGCAGCATTCCCTGCTTCGAAGATCGCAAGTCACCAGCTAACTGTTTGAACAAGCGCGTTCATAACATTTGCTATGAACGATACTACTCTTACCATGTTTAATCCCGTTTTTGATCAAACGCCTTTTGATAATGAACTTTTCCAAATTTCTAAAATCTATTCATAAATCAATGCTCAGTTTCAATGAGAGCAGGAAGTTTGATCATTTTCTGAATTTAGTAGATCGTGATGTTCTCAAACGAATTTGACTGAGAATGATGTGGACTTGAACAAATAAGAAGTGAATGCAGATGAATCAACAGTAAAATATAACGGAATCCTGGGAAGAACGCGATTAATCTGGGAGGCTGTTCCTGAATTCACAAAATGTATCGAAGCAATTCGTCTAGTTTTACGAGGTGTAAAGGTACAATGCCAAATTTTTAAAGACAATTCTGCTCTTTAGTGGCTACAAAAACACATTTTGATGGACACGTAGAATGACACGACATCGTTGCTAATTCGCTTACGTCCGCTTCTTGTTGCGGATAGGGTCGGATCAATTTCTGTAAGGTTCTGCAAAGAACCGACATTCACTACACCGCGCTTACTTTTGACATCTGTGTGATACTGTCCACTGCACTGCCTGTATCTCTACGTTTCCTTCCTAACCCACCTCTCTTCAAGTTCAGTGTTGTTATGAACCTAACCCTTTGAGGACTCACGTGATTTACACGAGTGATGTTCGATTCCGCTTGGTTGTGAGTGGATGACTGATTATGAGATGAGTTTAGAGCTGCAAATGTGGATCAGCCGAGATCAGTTCGTCGCCGTGCGCGAACCAGTGATACGGGGTTGGAGTGCATGCGTGTCGCGATGTGGCGGTTGTGTGGAGGGATTGTTATTGGGAGGTATAAGGGGATAAATTGATTCGTGAGGATTGAAAGTAGTTTAATGGTGGAAGTTCAAGTTTGTTGAAGTGGTAACAAAAACTGAATTTTATAAAGTTTACATTTGAAATATTTAAATTCACAAAACCATTTCATGCTCAAAATAAATTTTGTGGAGTTATGAATATGGCAATGCCTTAGCCATACGAGCAAATGAATAATGGTGAATCTCAAATATTTGAAGGCTATATCTCCATGGTACATTGACTTTAATTTTGAACATTGTTTAAGCTAGAATAACACTTTAAGATGTGACTTTGGTAGGCGACAAGGTTAAGTCGACGGTTTAGCCAAAGCCTGCTTAGCATTAAGCATAGATATTGATTCTGGGGTACTTGCGTAAGCGAGCTGAATTTCTCAGCTTTGACTGGCTGAAACGCAGTCAACTTTGGTAGAAGTTCACGTTCATGCTCGAACTGAAGCTTTGTGGTCATGCTTGGGCTCATCCTTACAACTGCCGTGAAAGACGATATGCGGAAAACAAAAGTTGGACATGGTTAAATAACGATCTAAATAGAAATCTCTAAACAACATCATTGCTCGGGGATGGATGATGGATAAAACGTAGAACGGCGTATTCAATCGTCATATATGCCCGCGTCAGTACGAGCGACAAAACAGTGCTTTGAGTCTTATAAAATGATGGATGGAAGACGATGATGCGGTTTGATGTGGCTGAATTGTAGAAAAGGAGAGCGAAAGTCTTTAAATGGCATCATTCAATTTGCTTTCCACTCTAAACCAAAGTTTAAGGTTTAGGTTCTGACCGAACCTAAGTTATAATTCTTCGATTACAGTTGTGTATATCAGCAGCAGCAGCATCATCTGAACTATTGATTAGTTGTTCAGAAAATTACATGATTATGATTAGATTCAAGCGCCAGAAAATTATGTTCACATTGCTTATCACTTCGGAATTACCGAAAGACATTACTCCATTTAATTCCATTAAATGAACAACATATTAATGATAATCCAGTGTTAAAATAACGTTTGTGCGTGTCAATAATGCGCCAGCACAGGTCTACTGCGCACGCCGCACGCGCTTCGTTTAACCTTGAGCTGCCGAGATTGCAGCCAGCCCGAGAGACGAACTGATCGTCTTCATGTAGACCGTTGAAGTTCATGATATTACATATTTATTCTTTTCAATCAAATCTCCATGCATCGTTTCGTTCATTAGGGATTTTGTTTTGAAATTTAGCCGATTTGATGATGTTTTAGCAACCATTTAATCGTTTTTCCCTCTCCGTTTCTTCGTGCACGAAACTTTCGATTATATTCCTTTTGCGTGATATATGTTTGATTGCAGTCACAAAATGAGTATGACAGCGTATCAGAATGATCATGGAGGATATTTTATGTCGGTGGCTAGCGCAAGTTCCGAGAGTAGCTCGAATTCGAGCATCCGTACTCACCCGTCATCACATATGTTGAATGCTTTACCATCATCCGCTTCATCAGCACCAACAACAACAGCTCATTCGAATGCCGTAACAGTTGCAGTTATTCCATCTTTTAATTCAGCTGTAAGTTTGCTTTTATTCATTACACATTATTCATGTGCCATTATTTTCACTTTAAGATTTGTTCTCTCTGTTCATAGCTGCTTTATATATGCAAAGAAACGAAATTAAAGAGGTGATGATGGAGTTGAAAGTTTCACTTCTTTTCGCTGTCGTTTTTTTGTGAAACTTTGCTTGGTATCAGAATAAGTATTGTGTTACAAAATTCAAGAGTGTAAATTCAACAACTGTGAACACGAATGACAAAATTGTGATGGTGCAAGCTGGGAGATGTACGAATGCAAATAGGCATCAGTTCAGTAATACCGTTATAAATCATTCTTCTGCTGTACAGTCACCATCTACCACTCAAGTCGTAGCCAATAGCAATATTCAATTGTCTCATAATTATAATAAAGCGGTTAGTGATTCTCTATTCGTGTACCTTTTGAAACGACAAATTAGTTTCGTTCAGAATTATGAGATTAATAATTGAAGTGATTCAGTCTTTTCCAAATATTTGTATTGATTTGGCATTAGAAATCATCGGTCGAGTGCTTGTACAACCAACCTGTTAAGGAGTAAATTTTCTGTATTTTTGTCGTTCAGTAGCCGTTCAAAAATGTTGTCGTAGGCTCAGCAGTGAGCGTGGATTGAAGTTTAAAGGATGGGCAATGGAATATCATGAAAATCGTTTAAATCCATGTTTACTTATTAACCGCAATCCCCACTATCTTCTTCGTTCCAACTTATTCAAAAAAGATGAATGAATGCTTTCAGTCGCTATTACCTCGTTCCTATTCAACACCACAAATGCGCCAAACGACCGTGAATAATGCCAGTCACTCATACGGGATCAGTATCACTCCACACCAACAACAGCAATCAGTAGAATTGTTATCTCGAAGTAATGCTCTCTCGTTGAATGTACCGCTTCGAGAAGATGAACCAGAGCAGCTGGGCTTATTATCTCAGGTATTCACTGCCCTACAATCAAGTTAATTAAGGCAGCTGAATAGTTCTGTTGCTTTTAAAGTTGCCTTAATCTCAGCGCAATCAGCTTACCCACCTTGTATGGTCCTGAATAGATAAAGATGTGTTCGTATTGCTTCCATACATCCTTCATAGTAAAATGATGCTGAATAAAAGCATATTATTCTTTTGATTTATCAACCATTATTATAGCCAAATAATATTTCCGCCGTTGATAAGCAGCAGCTCACTCAAGATGCGCCTCCGTCGACGAGTGCAGCAGTTACCTCAACGAACGCTGAAACCAAATCTGCTGTTGATGATTCCGATGCGAATGTTGATGGCGAAATTGATATTCAAGTTTGTTTTCGTTTATTTCCTGCTAATATTGTTGTTGATTTCTCTTTTTACTTTCTGTTTTCTTCTTCGCGTATTATAGCCAGTATTCTTAGTGAATGGTGCGCGGTATTGTAATACGCGTGATGATTTTTATTCACAAAAGTAGATAAAGTTTGACAAAGTGAACCATGAAACGAACAACAATAATTTTAGATACGTAACGTGGTGTGTACATACACATTGCCATTGCATATCGATTTACATCGAGTAGCATTAAACTGCGGTAACGTCACATTGGATCGAGGACGTGGGGTGAGTAACAGATATTGCATATTCATCATATGTCTTCACATGAGATGTTCATAAATTTCTCTTAACTGTGCCGAAAATTGAAATCGAATTGTTTTAAATTTGAAGCAGCATCTTCAAACAATCTTCTTTTCTAGGTTTTACTGAAGCAGAGCCGTAATCCGTGTTGCTATGTGAAAATTTACAGCTCTGGCAAAGTCTATATTGTTGGATGTCGAAGGTTATTTTTTTTTTCAAAAACAAGAGTATTTTTCGATCAAGTGATTGAACGAAGTGAGTCTGATACTGAAAAAAACTCAACTATTTCATATAAAGTATTTCAAGTTCTATTCTGTTATAGATTAGTTTTGATGATTTGTTCTGTCAGTATTTATTGATATATTTCAAATGTAATCTTGATCGGTGAAAAGTTTATTTCGGTTTTAAGTGAAAGCGAATGTAAACGTGCATCACGTGGTATAGCTCGTTTGGTGCAGAAATGTATGGGGAAGGTGGCAGAACTAGTTCGGATTCGCAATTATCGTGTTTGTAATGTGCTTGCCACTTGTAAAATGCCATTTGGTGTTAGAATCGAAGAGGTCAATTCTTTCACAAATCCCTCAGTTATTTTTTGTGGAAACAATTGTTTACGCATAATAATCGAATTAATTCTATCATTTGAGATGTTTTTCCTTGCAATTGCGTGTGTCATATCTGCAGATGGCTGAGAAGTTCCCAGAAACACAATATGAACCTGAATTGTCGGTGGGTCTAGTATGGAAGCTAACTGATCCCAAGGCTACTCTTCGTGTTCACACTACTGGGAGTGTTACTGTCACAGGAGGTAGGTAGTAGAAATTTATTTTAAGCTTGAAATTTAATGACCGAAATTTTGAGCTCGTAATGAAAATAGTGTTCATGAATAATAATAATAATAACAAATTAAAGCTCAATCGGAAGCAGATGTGATGAGAGCAATAGAATTCATCTATCCGACATTAGTTCAGTATCGTTGCGCACTTCGTTTACGCCCTGATGCCAATCAAAATAAACGGCAAAGTAGACGTCCAGTTAAACGTAAAATGCTGGTAGAAGAACAACGCAAAAATAACAATATCTTATCAGATAGCAATCTGTCATCAAAACGTCAGCGTCAATCTTGCAACATCAGTCATGTTCGTTCTAGTTTTTCTTTTCTTTGCTACGCTCCATCTAATAACATAGATATATAAGTTCTGGCAGTAAGTGCACACATGCACGGAACACATTGTTTTATATGCTGTGTTTGTACACGACTCAGTCTCTTTTTTTTGCGATTGATAGACAAGTTGTAATTGTTTGATTGAAATAATTAAATCAACGAATACATACTTTAGTTTTAGTTATCTGAGAGGAAATTACATTTCAGAATGGCGGAACGTTCACAGCCGTAGCAGGTTCATCGGGTGTTATTGGTAACCGCGTCTATTTTAGTGATGAAGATGAAGATGATTTACTTCAATTTTAATAGCTTATCAGCAGTTACGACAAAAGTATGCAGTAGAAGTTCTTCATTTATTTGTCTTCTATGAGAGGTATACACCGGAGTATATCCCTGTTATCATCATCATCATGTCTATCATAGTCTAGATAAGTGAAATTAACGTGGACGGATAAAATCGACGTCAAGGTGGGATTCTGTTCAGTTACTTTAGTGAGGATGTTACCAACAAGGAAACGCTTTTTATCCAACCAACCAGAATTGTTCGTTTGAAAATGATGATATTCAGTGAGATTGTTAAGAAATCGTTCAGCAGACGTGTGTTTCATGCGTTTACAATTTTCTTTTTGTATTTCAATATTCTCAGTTGAATATTCGTAAGTGTCTCGTCCGATGATTGATAATTTCAGCGAAGGATTAATGCTCAATGCTGATCATGCAGTCAGTCGTCGTCTGATACAAGAAAATAACTATATTTTTTAAAATCTATTTCTTCAGTTCCACTTTTCGAGTCATCTGTCGATCTTCGTATGTCCAACTACACGAATCATCAACACATGAGTTTTGGCTCCGACTGATTCAACTGAACCATCGTCTTCTTTCTGATCGATCTTTCAAATTAATTATTTTTGTTATTATTTGAACGGTTGCATCAATGGAGCTGTTTGAATTATTCTCATAATCGGTCATTATTTTCTGTGATCTCGGACTATTGGAAGTTGACTATTAAAGATCAAATAAAACAGCGATTCTTCCATTTTGCAACGATAGTTGATGCCCCGTTTTTCCAAGCAGGAAAAGTATTAGATTCAAACGATATGTATTTTTGCAGTTCTGTGATGAGCTTCTTGATCATTCAGTGTTTTTTTTTGATATGATGTTGTAATCCAAATTAGGCATATCTTTCCAGTTTATATAAGGATGAATTAATTATTTCCGTAAATTTTTGATTTACATGTCTTTTCAATGAAGGTGAACTATATTTATTGATAGAACAGTATTAATTGAATAATCGTTTTGGTGTTTATGCATGTTAAAATAGGTCTCAGCTATTACACTAATCGCTTTAACTGTGCAGCATCAATTGATCCATCTCTTTCGATCATCGTTGAACGTTATCTTCATTGTTTTCATTAGTTGGTAGCAGTTTCTCAAAATTACAGTTTCTTATTTACAACGAATCAATCCGTCAGCGATGTTCGTTAGCAGTTTTTGCGAAGAGTGATTTTTGTGACCTTAATTATTAAATCAATTCTTGCTTCAAACAGCAAACGAGAACTTGTATTATACGTATTAATAGGTTGTGATTTGTTGCTGATTTCATTTAGAGCGTCATCGTAAATGAACAAGAAGAATTATTTCTTCAACTTTTTTTGGTCTGAAAATAGTTTTTAAACCTACATCTAATCTTTTTGTTTTCACTATTAATATTTTTTCTTCTTGCTTCATTATAATTTGGTAAATTTTTAAAAATCTTTTGTTATTAATTTCTCTTTCTCTGTACGTTTCGTTTGATTTGAAGGAGTGAAAACCTCCGTTGAGATGTTGAATTCTAATGAGATGGTTTTTGTTACTGCACCTCTGTGCCTGAATGTATACATTTTTGTATCTCTTTGCAACAATCTTTCAACAGCAAGATGAAATGAACGTTGAAATCTTGAAAATTTCTTAATTCAACAACTTAAAGCTGCTGTATCAGTTGTTCCATTGATTATTTCGTGTAGGATCACTTGTGTGGGTAATTTTTATAATATTGTTATTTATCTTGTTTGTTTCGGATTGAATTATTTCATTAGAACAAGTAACATACATCATATGATTTACTTGTTTCTCACAATAATACGTTGTGTAATAATTAAGTCTTTGGCATTTTTGATGATTCACTACCACGTTATTTATCGCTTTAAAATAGTTTCAATTTCAAATGCTATTTGAGATTCATCAGAAATTCATTTCTTCTCTCCAGTGGATTATTCATCTAGTTGCACAAAACACCGAACTGCCATCTTTCAGTAGAAATGTTATATTAATCATCGAGAACGCCTTTATTAGATATTCATCTTGTTTATTGTAATTTTCATATCTCGCATCATTGTTTTATCTCCCTCATTCATGTCTTCTCCTCCTACATTTTAGTTCTGAATCCGTCCATCTGATAATTTGAAATCAAAAAATGAATACTCATTAGTTACGTTATATGTGTGTGAATGCATATGCACATTTTGATTTTGTTTCCACTTCATGCGGTTCGTTGTCAGTTGTCGTTTTTATTATGCGTAATTATGTCATTATCAAGTTATGCATGTTTTCATTATTATTATTATTATTACTGTCGCTGGTACTAATGTTACTAACTTCTCAAATTTTTGTGGATTTAGGTTGTCAAGCTTTTGATGTTAATGCTCATTATCAGTGTTGCATTCTGTTCTGTAATTTTTGCGTTTTTCATAATTTACCATTATGTATTATTGAAATATACGATTTAAAAAAAATATATATGCATATTGTATGTTCCAGTTTATGAAAAGGATGTCTGCTGAATTTTTGTAATTATTTAAAAGATAAAGATCAATTTCTCGTAAGAATTACACCACGATGAGCAACGAAATGAATGGGTAAGTTTGATCATAAAATGTCACCGTTCCCTAGAAACCAGCATCCATTCAAGTTTGTATTTACCTACTTCAATGAAGGAAGACTTATGCATTCACTAACAGACGTACGCTTAGCGGAATATCGTTCGCGAAAAATAAGCTCGCTAAACCGCTATCCAACGACAACAATATCCGCCTTCGTCATAAAATTCCGCCATTTGAACACTATAGCGCGCTATTCATTATCGCTATTTCGCAAATAGCGGATTAGCGACAGCGAATGACCGTGATAAAAGGAACAGAGTGAGCGATTTTCGGAACGATGCGAATTTTACAGGGGGAACGGGATCACCGTCATATAAGCACCTAACACTAACAACTGCAGATCAGTTTGAGTGTGCATAGCTCAACATAGTGCTTCTATTCGCTCGAATCCTTCGACGCTGTTTCAGTCGCACCAATTGTCCATCTGTGGTTTCTCTCTCCGCCGCAAGCACATTCCTTTACGTGCTCTCTCTCTCCTACGTTTCTGGAGGTGTGAAAACCGCTGACGCGCATTGCTGTCTCTCTGTCTTCATGCTGCTTTGGCACACGCCCATTGTCTAGTTAGGCCCACATCCTCCTTGTGACGTCTGCTTCATTTTGTCGACAGATTTGTACGAGGCAAATCAGTGTTGAGTGTTGCATGTGAAACTTGAATGATTTCTGTTACTCAACTCTGTTTTGAACAGCCAATTTACATCTTTTGTTCCCATTCAATCCTCAGCGTTGTTTAGTGTAAACGTTTTGTATTAAACGAACATGTTGACGGTAGAATGTTTATCTGTTGATAAATCAAAAAGTTGAAATGTGTGAATTTGTTGATCGGATTAAGAAGGTTTCATTTTGAGAAGAATTGTTCTGTGAAATATTCGGTCTTCTAAATTTCGATGTGAAATCGTTTGTCATAATTTTTAGTATCTGATTAGTCAGATTTAGATTAAATTTCTAAATTAGTTGAGTTTGAAGACGTATCGATATTCCTGAGACGGCTAAACAACTTTAGCTTCCTTAAAGTTTGTTCTAATATATCGAGTTCTTTCTGGTATTTTCTGTGTAAGTGTGTTGCGAAAAATGAAAATAAAGTTGTGAATGAAATTTGCAGTTGGAGGTCCCAAAAATGCGGCCACCTTAAAAAATGTTGGGGACGAGGTCCTTCAAACTCTCTGTCCCTCGCAAATTACTATTGTATGGTATTTCAGAAGATTGACTTGAATAGAATGTCGAGAAATGAATGAAAATAAGAAGAAAAGTATTGATAACGTGGAAAAAACGTTGGCGCAATTAGCGCACCTGTCGTTAGGTGTTGGAGATGTGTTTGAAGGACCATCATCACAACAACAACCGTCAGTACCTGCTGTCGTTGTGACACAGCTGCCGCCTAAGGCCAAAGAAATTAATTTTTTGGTGAGAAAACCAAAATGCTTCCTTCAGTCTTCAAGGTTCAACAGCTCAAGACATCCTAATCAGTAAGTGATTATTATTTTTCTGGGCAGGCCCTTACACAAGAAGAGAGGGCATTCCTCCGAGACGAAAGTCTTGGATACGGACTCGATTAATTGTGTTCAAGAAATTGTGAATTTGATGATCTCCACGTTAGTCATTCAGCAGATCCTTATTTTGGCCGTGCACTTCGATAACAACAAACCTTTTTGCAGTCGTATTAAGTACAGATATCGACCATATATGCTTCGAAAACAAAACGCATCTTCATCGTGTGCTCATAACAGTTATTCACCGCATGCATCTGTAAATATCGTCAAGAAATTATCACACATCAAATTGGGCAAAATTGAAGATATTGAAGAACTGAAATTATCTCTATTACTATCATTAAACACGAATAATAGGTTGGTTCATATCAATCGATTATTTCCAGCAATAAACTTATCCATTTTCTGTATTGAATATTTGTGAATACTTGTTTTAAGCATTAAAATTTCATCATATTTCAAAACACTTCCTTGAAATCTTAACAACTTTGGTTATCCTTTACTATCAGAAAATATTGCTAAGCGTGATACATCTCCTCCCAAATCGTCTCATTCTTTTCTGTTAAAACCTTATAATCTAAATTGAAAGTTCCAAATTGATTGTTTTTGTAGATCTACAAGCTCTTGCTCTATCGAGGCATCGCGGTATTCTCCGGTCGATGAAGGTGTAGCTGGTGAAGTGGCCGAACTTGCCGAATATTTTTCTCGATTCGTTGCAATGAAGTTGAAAATGTCACCTCTCGCCGAAAGTATGTACGTGTAAGCAGTAATCTGTCATGTATATCAAAAAANAAAAAAGAATGTATAGATTGTATATCAATGATAAATTTTTCCAGCTGAGTAATAACATTCAAGTGCATTTTGGGAGTGTGTTTTTGCTTACATGATGCGGACACTGTCTTTACCGATGCTCGTGAATTAATTTTCTGTTGAATGCCTAATCATCCGTTGTTTTCGTGGAAGAACATTTTGCGATTCGTCGTAACAACCATTTAATTATATTGTCTTTCCGTTCATGCCTTTTGCAGTCAGTATGAAAAGAAGGAACAATTACAGTGCGACTGCATGCTCGTTGATTCGTCTAATTGTTAACCAATCCTTTTTGTTTTGCTTTTCAAACCAACTGATTAGGTTAAAGAACCGGAGAGCAGCCGCAGCGGTACTTTTGTCTATTATTTATTAATCATGTGTAGTGTGTTTGATCTGTCAAATGTTTCCTTAACTTCAACTCCAGCCTTTACAGCCGATATTCACATCGCGACCAACTTGTTTCTGTTATATTGATTGAAAAGCTGTAATTTTTTCTGAAATATTTCGTGAATCTTATAATTGTATAATATTAAGGATATATGCACAATAAAAACGCTTCTCCAATGTCACTGCTTCGCGTCATCGGAGTAAGTACTAATTACATAAAGGTTTCGCTACCACATGACACTTCACTGTGTTCCCAACTTCACTTACATTGACAGTATTTTTGTCAGAAATGTTTGCACTCTTTTCTATGCAGCACATGAAGGACACATATTTTTGGTAGTTTTTGAATTTCGAATTCCCTGCACGTCTCTTAGCAATGTACACGATGCGACGAGTATGTGGTCGAGTGAATAGCCCGGCCACTCATCCACGTGAATCCACACGTGTTTATTTGATCCAGAAGTATGCAATGTTTAAAGGAATTGTAGGCAGGAGTTCACATCCAATAAAGATCCATCCTAATTGAGCGGTGGCAGCGAACAAAATGCAATTGAATACAGTTTATCGATTAAGTGATTGATTTGTAACGAATGATGCATAATCAATATATATACATACGCTACATTAATCCAAGGTTTCTCAACCGGAGGTGCTTATACCCCCAGAGGGCTGGGTATTGTATTTCATGGGATGCGAAATAAGTTTTCACTTTTTTGCATTGAACTAGGCTAAGGCAGAGTTCATGTGTGTAAAGCAGGCAAGGATGAACTTTAAGGAATATAATTTAGAAAAGGCTGAAACGTACTCTAATGGTACACGGTCACTGTAGTAGATCAGAGATACAAAGTGGATGTTGTGAGAGGTACAAGGACATCTTGAAATTTTTAAGGGGTGCGGGTGGGAAACGGCTGGGAACCACTGTATTTATCGATTTCAAATACTAATCGTCCTAGAAGACTAATATAAACCATTTGATATTAAATTTATGAATGTGCTAAAGATTCTTATCTATTAAAAATAGATTCATCACAAATATGCTAAAATTGCAAACACTAACGATAATTTAATCACTCTTCAATATTTTGAAATGAATCATCAAATTCCTTGACAGATTGTCAACCAATGCATTGTTGGAGAGCCGTCAAAGTTACTAGGTGACAAAAGTTCAAATTTACCTCATCATATTTTTTAAACATTCATAATGAGCAGAAATTCTATTTCTGCTACTAATTAGCAGTGGTGCCTAATTTGAAAAAAAAAGACAACCCCGATTCCAGTTCAGTGTTTTCAAATTTTCCGCTCGGGCTCCACACATCTGAAATTGCAGTTCCGACGTTGCAATTTATAAATCCCGGCTCCAGCTCTACTTTTCCAAAATTTCGGCTGCGACTACAGATCCGACTCCGTATTCTCAACATTTCGACCCTGGTTTCACATTTTAAGAAACTTTGGCTTCAGAACTGGAAACTTTGGCTTCAGAAATAAAGATAAATAAAAAATAAATAAGAAAGATAAAAGATAAAATAAAGATAAAAAATTCAAAAAAATAAAAAATAAATAAGAAACTTTGGCTTCAGAAATAAAGATCCATCCTAATTGAGCGGTGGCAGCGAACAAAATGCAATTGAATACAGTTTATCGATTAAGTGATTGATTTGTAACGAATGATGCATAATCAATATATATACATACGCTACATTAATCCAAGGTTTCTCAACCGGAGGTGCTTATACCCCCAGAGGGCTGGGTATTGTATTTCATGGGATGCGAAATAAGTTTTCACTTTTTTGCAATTCCTCTGCTCTGCTTCGAAAAAGAAACTATTGCACAGATTTTAACTGCGGCTACTGGGTGTTGCTGCGATAACTTTTTTTTTGAGGAAGCCAAGACAAATTTTTTTGGCTTCAGCATTTAAGCATCACTGCTGATGACTGATTTAATATTTCAATGAGCAATTGCGATACCATATTTAGAAGATTGTTCTATGACATGCCTAATTACATTTTGATCGAACGTTTTAGGAAAACGAAAACTGAATAAGATGGATTATATGGAGAATAACGTATGCTGGGAAGATGAACTGAAGATGTTAAAAGAAAAATGTTATTAAGTTCTTCATCAATGTTATTGTAGCATCAATGTCACTGTTATTATTACAATCAATTGTCAAATTATTAAGTCATGACATATAATGCTGATGACGAGAACAAAATAATATATCAAAAAGATCAAGTGAAAGCACATGGGTGCTCAGCAGGAATTTATACGTGATAACATGTGACAGAAGAATGAATCTGCATCTAAAAATTCTGAAACGTGTAAGCATCCAGTTCGAATAACTATTTTCCATGATTAAAACAACATTTTCGAATAGTTTTGTTGTGGTCACATTCGAAGATAGAGCATAAGCGAATTGTTTGAGTCAACAACAACAGACTGTTTTGTAGTTGTGTGATTAGTAAAGAAATTAAATTTTATTGAAGAACAAATGTATGATATAAAATGGATAAGTACAAATAAGAGAATAAATAAAGTACAGGATATGGGAACAATCAAGGAAGAAACGAACAATCGATTGATTAATAAACTCACAATTAGCGTGATTTAGTAACAGATGATCAAAAGGTGTTAAAAGCTCAAAGTGATAAAAACTGGGCACTTGGAATTCACAACAATGTCACTATGTTTGCGTAATAATTCGATATTGAGTCTGATGGATGATGTTCAAATGCTTAAGACATTTCATTGAGTACAAAGGAAGGAATGCTATGAACGAGTGCTTGTTGTAACAGATGAAGAATCATCATTAGTGGTTACATAACGATTATAAGTGAGATAGTTGAAGACGGGATGTCGGACAGGAACCATTTTAGAGCCATCTGAGAGCCAGTTGCGTGGTGCGACCACCTCGCTTCCTTCTTCACATAAACGCTCTTCTAACCACGAAGTAAAACGCTCCTTACGTCTAGCTACCATTATTCTGTGCTTCTGAGAACAAGGCAGATGACTAATAATAATAATAATAATAACAATAATAATAACACTGATAATAATATCTTTATGAATCAACTATTTATCTTCTTTATTCATCGTTCCAACTCAGTCGTCATTAATGTTTGCATGGGATCCTCACTTCGAAATTTGATAAAAACATGCCATTGTAAAAAAAGCATTGCAACTAATGGCGTAGCCAAGTAGTTATCATTATTGATTCGTCTTTTTCATCACTGTTATTTTAACTTCCGTTGATGACACTTTTCTAATTACAGAAGAATTACTAAGGTTGGGATTTATCGAGAATCTTACAAAATGGATAGAAAACGGTGAGAAATTTAAAATGCAAAACTACATCTTATAATAGATGGACTGAGGAAGGTTGTGTTATACGGTAATATAAGAATGGATCGATCACCTTAATGGCACGCTGTGGTGCACCACTGCGAATCAAGAGGTCTGATGATCCATTAACAAAACGCATTCGATAATTGTCCGCCGATGAGAAACGAACATGCAAATCCTCTCGAATCATTGCCACATTTGAAGCTTTTTCCTTTTCACTTGGTCGTCCTTTCCCGCGTCCTTTTCCAATCTTCTTCTTTGCTTCTTCCTCTCGTCGCCTGTAACTTTCAGCAGAAATGTATGATCGTCATATGAAAGTTCAGTAGAAATTAACCACTGAATGAAAACGTATGAAACTACAAACAAACCGAAAAATTGGATATTTCACGTGTGATATAATGATGAATGAAAAAAACCTGCAACGCTCAACACCCTGCCGAACGAGTCGCATCAAAAAAACTGGCTTTTCAGCTATAGCTTCGATTTCATCCGAATTGATAGTAAATGAGGTTGATTCTTCACTAAGTGACTGAAATGATAACTTATTTCACCAATATTTCAATTATTATCGCCTTCTTATTGCTGACGGAACAAATGATTAATAAATGTAAATGTTTGCACTGATGAAAAAATAAAACGAATTCAACGCAAGCATACAAGCTCAATGCCGATCACTTTTTCTATTGATGTTACGAAGAAAACACAAACTTTAATGTAATGACGAGCATAGAGGCTCCATTTATGATCAGCGCTCGAAAGTTTCTCAGCACCTTCCTCGACAGTGTCTGCATCGATTAACTCCATAGTAACCTTGTTCTTATCGTGCAGAAAATACGTTTTGAAACAATTTTGATTTGCCAATAACTGTAAACAAAAACGACTTCTGCCTATCTGCTCATAATAATAATGTCGATAAAACGACAATAACAATCAACTCAACAATGAATGATAGCCAAATAAATATGAAAACCTGCTCAACAGCTGCTTGATAAGCAGCCTCGATTCGTTGTTCATTATTAGATTTGCTGTACATATTTAGGGGCTTTTCAAAGCGATATTTTTGATACAGTTCCATCGTTGCAATATTCACCTGAAAACTATCCACCATCAACCGATTCGTTTAATTGCTTTACCGACTCCGATAATTAAAGGACGAAATTAAGTCGCACCTCTTCAGAGGACATCGCTTGCAATTGTCGACCCATTGTTGTGATTATTTTATCCATCGTAAATGTTATATACGCGTCAGTCCCGAACATATTCCTAAATTGTCAGCATAAAATGACCGTTGTTAACATTTCAAGACACCTTCTATAAAATAGTGATTTTTAACAGAGAACATACCATTGAGAATTTTCCTAATTATAAACACCTTATTAATTCAGCACTCGAAGATACAGCTATGAAACCATTAAATTCATTGGAGCCACGAACCTAATGCTATCCTCGAACGCAGATGCTTCTATCTGACCATCCAAAAGGTTCTTAATCTCCGAAATGAGTGCAATGTAAAAATTCTTGGGGCATTGTGCACTTTTCTTCAGCAAATGTAAACCCTTTTGGGTATCACTATTCACGCTTTGTTCCAATCGTCCACTTCCTTTATTTCGACGCAGTATCTCTTCACGTTCTTGACGCATTCGCTCTTCAGCCTTCAAACAAATTGTTTTGCGTTGCATTATTTTATATTCGACATTAAAAATTAGTAAATAAATACACAAATCGAGCACAAATATTAACCTTATAATTTTCGAGCATCTCAGATGTTTTCTTCTTTAAACGTGCCAATCTATCGCAAAGCATTTGATGAAGACGAACGAAAACACACCATGTATTCGCACCAAAAAACAACCGGTATGATGTACCTGAGAAGGGTTTCTTTTCCAACCCTTCGCTTATTGCTTCCTGGAACATTTTTTGTTTTTAATAAACGCTAAAATCAGTCAGTCATTTCACATCACGACCATCTGAAAATTACAAACATTATTTGAGTCCGTTGAAATGCATGATGGCGATATATTAGTGCTGCTAACAACCGCAGCAGCATTACGTTTCTCGCTGCTTGCATTTGCTACTAAAGAAGCTCTTCTTGATGAACGCAATCCACCATCCGTGTCTGCTGGAAAGTACAAATTTGCAAAACATAAATAACGATCTTAAACCTATACGTAATTTACACTTACTTGCATCAGTAAAAGGACGATTATTAAAATGAAATGAGCTGTTCGAATTCTTAATAAAACCCGGAAAGATAAATACTGCAAAGAAACCATGACGTTCGCCTTCACTGCCATTATCCTCTTCATCGCTCATTGGCTGCGGAGGAATATTGAAGAGCTCAGGGATGAAACGTTTCAACGTTTTCTTCGCATCTCGTTTCTCATCTTTTTGTATATTAGGTTGACGTTTCACGTAATGAATTACCAAATCATTCACATCATACAGCACCGACATATCTTCTGGATAATCATAAATACAATGTGGCCCTATCTCTGTACTTGCGTTCTCTTCTTTTCGTGTTTCACGCTGCAATTTCTCATTCAATCTAACGCCAAATTAGATTCGATCAAACGTGATGCATTTAGCAGTAATGAGAACACTTCGTTGGATAATAACCAAATTCGAAACATTAAAAAAATTAGCCCGGCGGATATATTTGTGACTGATTAATTATTCGATAATTCAATAAAAATATTAGATAGTTACAACGAAGAAACACAACAAACCTCATCATAAAGTGTTTCAAAATGATGCACGATCATCTTAGAACGAAGTAATTTCAGATCGTTCTGCTTGAACGAGAGAGCTTGATGATCAAGACTTTTCGCGTAGTACTTCTCGGTTTGTTCTCGCCATATGCGATTGAACTGCACCTGCGCATCTCTCCACTCTCGATCCTTCTGACGCATCCGTTCGATCAATCTTGGCACAACCACCCAAGGATTCTTTCGTGCTCCTTCCAACATCTTATTCGCATGCTCTCTGTAGATAGCCTTTCAAAGAATTTTTGAAGGAATTCCCAGTAACTTGAGATGAGAAGAAATTTACTGAACATCTTATGAAAAAAAAACTAAAGTTTCAACTAACCCATAAATACGTTTCAGAGCACGATACATGAGTGAGGGTGACGATGCGCCTAGGGATGAATCGAGTCGTAATTTCGTTACTTCTTCCTTTTTGATACGAGACATTTTTCGTTGAAGAAACTCAAGTGTCTCTAGTGCTGCTTTATTCACTTCGATAACAATATCTAACTGCAAATATATTCAATTTCCAATTCTCTAAAGAATTCTTCTCACCATTACAAAAGTTATACCCTTTACAACTAAGAATTAACCAAACAAGTTTCAGAGATGGTATTCCCCAACAATCATTACGAGAATGTTCCACGTTAGAGCTGATTCCTTGATCAAAACGCTGAATGACAAAACCCAAGTGCATAAATCATTGATTCAAACATAGCTTTTAAGGTGTAACAGCAATAACAATATAATAAAGTGCTGATGATGAGTGAATATAACAATAACGAAATGATGAATGAATAAAATTCAACTTACTTCGAATCGTTCATCTTCTGTTCGATATATGAATTCTTCGTACTGACTTTTCTTCGAATGAACACAAGAAGTATCTTCGGAAGACCACGATGGAAAAGATACCCAAGTATCATTGAGAACCGACTGGCACAACGGTGTTCTTCCCATACAAACGGCTCGTGGATAAGATTCGGGTAAAGAGCGATAACTGATTCCCAATCGTTTACAAGTTGAATAATCTGTAAATCAACAATTTTTTGCAAATTAATCTCTGTTTCTCAATTTTATTACGAATACAAATATTAACCCATGGAAATGCATCAAATCCAACGACGCTTATTTCATTCGTGACATTCAATGATTAGGCCGATCATAGAAATTGAACAATACCTATTTGGGAAGTTAACTCAGACGGAATGCCATCGCCGCTAGACGGTCTTTTACGACTTTTATCTTCTTGATGCTGGCCACCGAAGCTGGAATCGTTAATACCAAGTATATTTTTGAATTCCTTCAGAAGATTTGCCCTTTTTCTGAAAAGCCTTAGCACTTATCCGTAGCAGTTTGCAAATATTTTCAAAGAATAGCAGTTCGTGATTTTCAAAATAAAAAAAAANAAAAAAAAACAAAAGAATGAATCATGAACAGACCCTATGAAAGGAGTGATTAGTTCAATAAGTTCGTTTTTGGTAACGATATTCTTGTTGTACAGCATCAAACAACGAAGAAAATTGTTGTACACTTCATCATCAGACAGCACTTTACGAACCTGCAATAGAATAAATTACTTCCTTTCTGACCAACAACAACACCAGCTAATTAAAAGCGACGAAAGCAGTTTATAGGTTGTACTTCCAACTTCCAAATGAACATACCTTGTCGAAGAATAACAAGTCATCCACTGTAGCCAATCGCACCGCTTCATTAACATCGAAATCATACGTTATTACATTCGATGTACTCACTTTTGCCTTCTAGAATCAACCGTTTATAATTTTAAAAATACATTCGATAAGCCCAAATCAACACGCTCATATAATGCGGCTGCTAACAGTAATGAATTTGAGAATAGAATAAAATTTGCATACCTTTGCAGTGACCGATTGCTGAGATGATCTCGAAAAACTACGCTTATGGAGGTTAACTGATGAGACATTGGATGCATTGGGTATGTTAACTGGCGATGACTGAGGTGGTTGCAAGGCATTCGAGCTGCTATTATTGGTGTTTGGTACACAAACCGGTTGTGGTGAAACCACCAGTGATGCACGCTCAGCATTGCGCGATGCTTTGCTCTGATGCTGTTGCTGCTGAACAAATGGCAATTATTCATTTACAACAAAGCAAAACTTCTCTATTATGTATGACATCAGCTTCTGTATGTGACATCTAATCAGATTGCGAATCGAAAAACTAAAATCATCAAAATCAGATATCCTCACCTTAGAACTGAATTCGTGCGCCGCTTCGTTAGACTGTAAGTTGCTAGGCACCGACGGCTTATTTAAAAATCCGCAAGCATCTGGCAAGAACTGCGAAAATTCGCGAAGTAGATCTGGTTCACTTTCGAAGAGCACAGCCACAGAATTGTAAACTTGGCTTTCAGTCAGCGACTGTGATTCCCCCTTCACAAAAAACACATTCATAGAAAGACAAATAGATGAATGAACAGTAACAGAGAGGCTAATTCTGATGCAACCGTAAGGATGAAATATCTGAATCAAAACTGAAATTTACAAAAAAAGCAACTAATTGCATAATACGCAACTAATCATAACTTTGTGAACATAGTGAGAAGTTCATTTGAAAGCGATGAGTCGTCAATTTCTACTCGAATATAACAGAAATGAATAACGGTTGTATCATTATTATGAAAATGGTTTTTTAAGAAACGGAATGAAAACCTGTGGACGACTTCCTTTTTGTTCTTGTTGATAACAATGGAGAATTTCTAAGAATTGACGATAGACATTGGGTCGATTCTGGAAACGAGCCTGAAAGTTCGATCATGGGAGGAAAATACTTGTAGATGAGAAAAAAAAGCAATAAATCAGTGAGTGAAAGATACTTTGATTTTGTTCACGTAATTGATCGCTTGGTTGAACTCGATCGGTGATTGATCAGAAGGAAGTTCGACGTTTTGAGACGGAGGAGGAGCAGATGTTGAAGCAACAGTAGGTTGGGGTTGATGGTGTTGCTGCTGCTGCTTGAGATCAGCAATAGGTAGTGAAGAAGAACAAGGTAGTGGAAGAGCAACAGGTTGATGAGGTACGTTGCCAGAGCCACTACGTTCAGCACTCGATGAAGGTGGTAATGATGACGACTGAACCACATTGATATGAGCCGCTAACTGTTGTATCGTTGTTGTGGATGTTGCCGTACTACGTTCTGAAATGACATCATTAGTGCCAATATCAATATGAAGAGGATGAAAAGGAAGCGAAAACGAGACGTTGTTGTTGTTCATTGGATAGATTTGTTGTTGCAGCACAAAATCGAGGTACAGATGCTGTTGGTTGAGATGAAGGCGACGATGTGCATGGTGCAGATGAAGAAGGGGTACATTCAACAATTGCACTTTCTGAGGATGATGCCTTCGAGCTCGTCGACGAAGTTACTACTGACGGTGTACCACACACTGCAGTTACAACGTTTGTTATTTGTGTTGTTGCTGCTTCGTTGCGTCCTACAATCTTGTTGGATAGATGATTTGAACTATGCACTGCATAGGTAAAAAAAACTTTGAGTTATGAAAGAAACTTAATCATTCTTTTAACATACCTTCATCAACTATTTGTGTGCGACCAGACGGCTCAGAGATTACAATTTTGTTTCCATCAAGGCGCACTTCAAATCCTGGAGGAAGAAAAGTGTTGAATCCAACAATTAAGTTTGGACGACCGCGGAATAATCGTGAAACACGTCGAATGACACCCGGTGTATCGATCCTGCAAGAAATACATTTATTTAACTTTTTTAGTTCTCAGTGCGCATTATGACAATATTGTGCATTAAAAAATAATGGAATCAATTGTGAATCAGATGATGTAGCATGAAGCAGGAGAAACTTACGCGATGAAAGGTAAATGGGCACATAAAACAATAAGTCAACGTACGTTTGTGACTTGAAATCTTTCATAATATCCAAAAAATCACTGTACACCTCAGGCGCTTGAGAGAATTGTATTTTCACTTGATCGAGATACGAAAGAGCATCTTCCACACGTAAACGCTTGAATATAAAAAGAAAAGATTGGTGATGATATATATTTTTCGATTCTCAAAGGGAGAGTCTACGTCTTAGTGTTAGTTTGCGCTTCGAACTGCCAAAAAGTTGCATCCACAATTACCTAGAACAAGCTCATCACAGTTGATCAGAAAAAGAATTACATATGATATTATATGACTTTCCATGGTAACTGCACTTCATTACAGGTAACGTTGATTCAGCTAATTTCACTTCAATTCACACTGATACATTCACTAATAGGAAAGCAATCTAATTCAAGGTATGACCCACAGCTCAAAATGTTCCAAATGGACGAACTGAATGAATAAATGACAAACCCGTGAATTTCCGCGATTAGATACTGCATTGCCAGGACAATGTGGACGAGCTGTTTCATAACGTTGGTAAAGATCAGCCACAGCATAATTATGGGTTACATTCAGCTGTCTGAAAATTCAAAAATTCACCTGTAAATACTTTCTCTTTGCTGTTCGTTAAATTCACTGATATTCCAAACTAAACAATAACATACGGAATTGGCTGTTGACCGAAAATCATAGCTGGTGGAGGATGGGGTACAGTGGACGAATTCAGATGGGATGCTGGCAATCTTATGCCGTTTCCACCATTCGCACCAACTGTTCCTTGACGTTGACCATTATAAGACGGTTGCTGGTCCATTCCTTCAATAATAAAAAACTGAGCTGAAATGAAACTTGCGTCTTGGATCACCAATAAAGAAATAACATCACGAAATGATAATAGTGCTTGGAAAATCCCGTGCACTGCATAACATATCTATGAACACATTTGCTACATTCTTACAAACTTCATGAGCGCTAGTTTTTGTTCCCATTCATTCCGACTAACTGCTTCACAAAATCTCAGACTGAATGAATCTTACGAACCGGTCACGGCACCAATCAAACTTAATGCCGCAATACTGCCGTCATATCATCAGCTTACCAGTCATGCAGCGACCATAGCATAAGGAGAATGAATTTTGTTAAAAAATCATTACGTTGAAAACTGACATCGTAAAACTTGGCGATTGCCAACCAAAAACAAACCCACAATCCCGCTTCAAATAACAATCTAAGACAGGTTATCAGATCCGATTCAGACGAATCGTGATGTAAAAACGGTGCGTACGCACTTCGCCATATGCGCGTGTCGGCGGAAGGAG